AGTCTGAGGATGGTAAGACGAGGAGAAGCGGAGCTGAGTGCCGTATACCTCGTGGAGTCGTCGCCAGAATCGGCTGGTAAAGCGCGGGTCACGGTCACATATGATGCTCAGAGGTAAGCCGTGGTCACGCACGACTCGGTCGAACACGATGTCGGCGACCTCACGTGCAGTGATGGCATAGCGGCACGGAACAAAGCGTGCACGCTTCGTGAAGCAGTCGACGACGACCAAGATAGCATCATGACCGCGAGGGGTCGGAGGACGAAGAGGACCGATAAAGTCCATCGAGATGGACTGCCAACGACCCTCAGGGATAGGAAGAGGCTGGAGCAAACGATAAGGCAAGTGGTTTGCACTGTTCACAACCTGACACGTCAGACACTCTGCGATATAGTCCTTCACAAAGTCCTTTCGCTTCGCCCAGACGTACAGGCGGCTCACACGAGCCAACGTCTTGTGGAAGCCCATATGACCGACAGCTGCCTGGTCATGGAACTCTGCTACTGCTCGGACACGTAGCTGTCCAGTGGAGGGAACGCAAATACGGGGCTCTCTGGTGCCCTGTAAACCGTGCCAGTACACAAGACCGTTGTCCCCGAGAGAGTAGTTCGGGACGGTCTTGCCACTCCGAAGGGTCGCGTGGATGTCGCGATAGTCGGGGCAATGGCGGTACAGAGTGCGAAACTCGTCGATCACCGAGTGGTGGACGGTGGTGAACGAGATGGAAGAGAGCTGGATGTGCTCCTGGTCGTGGTCAGCGCGCCGAGATAAGGCATTTGCGACCCGATTAGTTTCACCCTTGATGTGCTCAGTGGTGAAATTAAACTCGGAGAGGACGCGCCACCAGCGAGCCTGTCGAGGAGTGAGCTTCGGTTTTATCAGAAAAGCCTGGACAACAGAGTTGTCTGTACACACCGTGAACGGTGCCCCGTGCAGGTAGTGACGCCAGTGCCGAGCGGCATAAACTACTGCGAGAACCTCACGTTCATCCGTGGTGTAGTTTATCTCGGCGGGCAGGAGCTGACGGGAGTAAAAGGCTACCGGACAATCACCAGAGCGAGACTCGACAGTGCCCTCCTCGGCGATGGTAGGAGAATAGTCAATAGAAGGCTCGTCAGTAGCTGGACGAGTAGGCGTCAGTCGGGAAGCAGTGGTAGGGGTAGGTGGTGGGAAGCGAGGGATACGAGGATGAGAGGAATCAGGAGAGGAGGGGAAGACCTGAGAAAGCACTGCGCCTACAGCGAAGTCTGACGCATCGGTGGTAAGGATAAAAGGGCGGTCAAAATCGGGTAGGTGAAGAACCGGTGCGCATGTCACTGCCTT